TAATCAGCTTATACCTGTCCAGTTATCTGTGTACAGTACATATACATTTCTATATTACAGAATATAAATGGTCATGAATAGTTGCACTGGGAAAATGTAATTGTAAGTATCAAAGTCCTAAGAGTTATCAGTGCCCTTAAATTTTTTTTTTTTATTATTATTTTTTTAAATGGTATTAAAGCTACCTGAAAAGCTTAAAGTACTTAAAAAGGACTTAAAGGATGCCTCAATTAAGTCTTAAAAAATTTATTTCAGGTCAATAAATACTAAAACAGGTGTTCCACTTATCTACTGCAGTTTCTAACCTAATGAAATCTCTAAATAGTACTACTCTGTTTTTTAGTATTAGCAGTTAAGTGGATTAACCAGTTAAGGACATATGACATGTGTGACATGCCATGATTCCCTTTTATCCAGAAGTCTGGTCCTTAAGGGGTTAAAGTGTCCAAATTAAACATCTGTCAGGCTATAGAGTCTAAATGACTGAACATTGTTACTAATGCTTAACTTGTGTTTATTATTATTTAGGAAAGCTCTAATCCCTGTTCCAATAGCTACAGTCAAAGGAACTTTGAAAATATCTTTAACCGTTGGATATACGGATAGTTTCGGTTTCTCTTATCTCGGCCTGCAGGTTGATGGAAATGGAAATCTTGACGTACAGGTGCTGGGTGGAGTAAAGTAAGTATTGCCAACATTGCATTTCATAAAATTAACATTGTATCATTTCCATACTTGGGAACAATGGTGGGAAGGTATTTAGTGAATGAAAAACCACAGAAGATTTGGTATCATTGAGTTATGTTTGTTATGGGGACAGTCAGAAATGATTAGTAATATTGCTATTTAAAGAGGGAACCTATACAAGGTTAGAGAGTAATGTCCTAGACATCACTTATCACAATCATATTTGCGTTTTGTCCCAGTTATTTAACTATGCAAAGGAATAAAATGTTCAACAAAGTAAATCCATCATAATATAAGGTAGTAAGATAGTTCATAAAATGGCTCTGTAACATCAAACATAAGCTCTATTGATTACACTTTCATTCTTCTATCTGAATCTGCTCTTCTTTTCTTTATTTCTGATCTATTTTTCATTCATAGGTATTACTTTGCCTTGTTTAATTTTTCTATGTCTGACAAATCTTGACAAAGTGTGGAGTTTAAGGCAAGCTCCACTTCCTTTGTCAAGTTTGTCAAGCTAATAAAGCAATTGGAGCTTACTTTAAGCTCCACCCATTCTCAAGGTTTATCAGGCCTAGGGGAAATACATAAGACAAAGTAGTCCGTATGTGCCTTGCTAAGTATCAGATAAAAATTACAGTTTAATACATTGTATACAATTTTGCTATCACTTTGTTGCTATTGCGACAATTTAAACAGCATGTGGCTGAGTGATTTACCAGGCAGCAGCTCATTTGTCACTGTTTGGAATCTTTGCGAGGAGACGTTAAAGTCAGCCTGCAGGTTAAAAGTGGCGACAAGTTTGGAAACCTGTCAGTAAACAGAAGCTGCAACTACACACCCATTGCTAATAGTGACAACTTGACATATATTTACAAACAATATTGGAAATGAGCCGTTAACATGATATAATGCACAACTGTATATTTAGGCTCTTTTAAACACGGTTATCATGCATTGCAAGTTTGTTTAGTTATTTATCCCTGTATTAACCCTCTAACATGGGGTAGGCAACCTTGGCACTGCAGATGTTGTGGACTACATCTCCCAAAGTGCGTTTAAAGCCATAATACTACTCACACGACATATCATAAGGGAATTATGGCCCTGTACATGTCCCTGTCCACGAGAGTCTTCAACTCTGGTTTCCTCTCCAACAAATCTTTAATCAGTAACAGTACTCGCCATGGATGCCCACTGTCTCCACTTTTATTCATACTTTGGTTGGAAGCACTCATACGCCACATTAAAAATACACCAAGGTATAGAGGACATTTCTACCCCAGTGGGAGTCCAAAAACTATCACTCTTCGCAGATGACGTGCTCCTGTTCATCACAAAACCCATGCACTCTATTCCGAATCTAATGAATCTACTGTTATTATAAGGACAAGAAAATTCCTACTATACAATCAACCTAAAAAAAACACAGGCTTTACCAGTGGGCATCCCTACACATACGCTCCAGTTACTCAAATCACAACATCCCTTTGACTCCTTAAAATACTTAGGAATTAACTTGACTAAATCAACCTCCCAACTGACTCACGAAAACCATATTCCACTTACCGTTACCCTACAGACACAAGTAGACACGTGGCAAAACCTGGAAATCTGGAAATGGTTAGGGAGAGTAAATAATGTTAAAATGATGGCACTACCCCACGTTTTATATTAATATCGCACTATACCCATAGCACTGGGAGAATAATTACTCCACAGGTTTCAAAACATATTTAATGCATACATTTGGAAGAAAAGGCTATCGCCAAATAAAGGCAGACTTGGTGTTCTGAACATCAAAGTATTCTACATAGCTTACATTAGAATCCATGCTACGGTCGTTCACAATATGGGACACTAACAAAAACAAACCCATGGAGAGCACAAGATTCCTAATCAATAGCTGGAGGAAATGGGCAAGAACCCTCATAGGCACAAACAACATTTTATACTTTACGCCAACACAAACAATCTCTGAGTTATTGGAGGATATCAATATGGAATCATGGCACCAAAAAGGAATAAAATTGATAACAGCTGTACACAGAAAAAGGTCTAAAACCCTTTCCAGATCTCCAAAAGGAGTTTACACTACCCTCCAGAGAAGTCGTCACATACATTAGAATCAAGCATATCCTTCACACACTACATACTCGCCAATGCGAGGAATCCCAACTTACAAATTTTGGTCCATACTGCATAAGTAAACACCCACAAACAAAACCAATATCCCTTTGCTATACAGCCCTAAACGACACAAACACACTCCACAAACACAAATACACTGTACTATGGGAATCCGACCTTAACATCAATATTCCCACTCCACTTTGGCTACAAACAATGCAGTCAACAAGAAAGGTATACCACAGCTTATCCCACTGGGAAGCGTATTGTAAGATGTTAATGAGATAGTACTTAGTGCCGACCAGGTTAACAACCATGTACCCACCGGTCTCCAAAATATGCTGGAGATGCGATCTCCATAAAGGATACATTTTCTGGGATTGCCCACTAGTGAAGGGGTTCTGGCAGACGATAGAAAAAATCATAAGACTAATAACGAACCGCAGGATACCATTCACACCAGAATGTTACCTACTCCATTTGTCACCTGAGCTGTTCTCAGATAATAATAACCACATTATTATACACATCTTAACAGCAGCAGAAACTAGCATAGCAAGCCATTGGAAGAGCAAACGTATCCCTTCTCCCTTGGAGATTTGGAATAGAATCAAAACCATAGCAGACTATGAACAGATGGCATACAGGATGAAAGGACAAGCAGATAAATACACCAAAAGATGGGCAAGCTGGCAAACCCATAGCATAGCAGTGAAAAACATTAAGAGTACACCCTAGGAAAAGACACATTACCTCGCACAAAGGCAATACGCGGGGGAGACTGTTACACACATACTATTTCCCTCTTTCCAATAGAGCATCACAGGCAGCATGGCAGTGCATACACCTGTTCCCCCTAATCTCCCAGTTTCTAACCCCTGCCTTGCCCCTCACCTCCTAAACTAGAATATGATGCCCGCGTGCATAACCAAATTCCTGGAATACAATAACCCAAATTTTAAAGTTTAGCAGGAACTGTTGAAATGTGATCAGCAACTTTAATGCTACTAAATACAATGTTAAATTGACCAAAATAATCAGGGCCGTCTTTAACATTGATTGGACACTGGGCAGGCATTTGTTTGGGCCCCCTGGATCCTGCCATCCATCGCCCTCCCCCCACACTTTCACTCTCTGGCATGCAATCATGCCCTCCACCCCAACACAGTGGCAGAACTAATGTAGACAGGGCCCTGGTGCAAGACATTGTTTTGAGCCTCCCCTCTAGCGCAAGAGTAGAGAAAAGATAGATCCTCATCTGTTGTACAATTCCAACGATGCTATGCCAGTTGGGGATCTACCATTTGTCCATTTTTGCAGGGCTGTATTTGTGAGCAGTGTTTGTGCATTTGAATGTGAGCATGTTGTTGTATACCGTATGTGTGTGCATGTAGGGTGTAGTATTGGTGTTTAAGTGTAGGGATGTGTTTCTATATACTTTTTGAGTTTGAATTCAGGGGTGTGTTTGTATGTAATGTTTGCAGGGGTGTGGTTGCATGTTGTGTTTGATTGCCGTGATGTATGATATACATTCACAGATATACATACACATTAGCACACTGATACATGCACACATCTGGACACATGCACACACTGACAAAGACTGGCGTATACACACACAGCCACATACATAAATACACGTGCACACACAGAGATAAAAACACTGGCACATCCACACACAGAGATACACACACACACTGACACAGATATATACACAAATACATATGTATTTGTGTGCAGTGTTGGCGTAGGAATGCTGGGATGTATGCATTGTCACACAGATGCACTTACACAGAAACAGTGATACACACAGGAACACAGATACACATGCAGTGGTGTATTTGTGTGCATTGTTAATGTTGAAATGCAGGGTTGTATTTGTGTGCAACTTACACATACTGACACTCATACACACACAGGTACATACACACAGACAAGCAGGTATACATACAAACTGACACATAGGTGTACATACACACAGATACACATAAACACTGACACAAAGGTACATGTACACTGACACAAACACAGCCACATAAACACACACTGACACAAACAGCAAGATACACACTGACACAGCCAGATACACACTTACACACACAGTCAGATACACACACACACAGTCAGACACAAACACAGCCAGATACAATCACAGCCAGCCAGATACACACACACACACACAGTGAGATATACACACAGTGAGATATACACACACACACACAGTCAGATACACACACACAGTCAGATACACACACACACACACACACACAGTCAGATATACACACATACAGCCAGATACACATACACACATACAGTCAGATACAGATACACATACACACACACACACACTGACACAAACACACACAGAGTCATATGAATTCACATAGTTTAGCCACCCTCCTTACCTTTACAGACGTGTGGCTTCCCTGTGGTCCAGTGGGAGCTGGATGGCTGAGATTGATGGGAGTCTTCTTCTTCTTGGTCTGTACCACCTCCTGCTCTCCATGTATGCCTCCTCCTCCTCCCCAGCGGCACTCTGTTAATTGGGAGGAAGTGACCTCACAACACTTCCTCCCAGCAGGCAGGACGACAGGGGCTCGGTCAGGAGCTCTCTTAAAGGGCCGGGGGCCCCTGATTACATCACCTGCTGCAGCCCACCGGGATATTTCTCAGTATCCCGGTGGGCTGTTCAGACCTGGCTGCGGGCAGGGGGCCCACAGGGCAGCTGCTTTGGGCCCCCCAGGAGCAACTGGGCCCGGGGCGCTGCCCCGTTTGCCCCTTGTTAAAGACGGCCCTGAAAATAATGCATCTTGGACGTAAAAACCCAAGGGCAGAGTACAGAATATTTGATAGAGTCCTAACCTCAACATATGAGGAAAGGGATTTAGGGGTGATTATTTCTGATGACTTAAAGGTAGGCAGACAATGTAATAGAGCAGCAGGAAATGCTAGCAGAATGCTTGGTTGTATAGGGAGAGGTATTAGCAGTAGAAAGAGGGAAGTGCTCATGCCATTGTACAGAACACTGGTGAGACTTCACTTGGAGTATTGTACACAGTACTGGAGACCGTATCTTCAGAAGGATATTGATACCTTAGAGAGGGTTCAGAGAAGGGCTACTAAACTGGTTCATGGATTGCGGGATAAAACTTACCAGGAAAGGTTAAAGGATCTTAACATGTATAGCTTGGAGGAAAGACGAGACGGGGTGATATGATAGAAACATTTAAATACATAAAGGGAATCAACACAGTAAAGGAGGAGACTATATTTGAAAGAAGAAAAACTACCACAACAAGAGGATATAGTCTTAAATTAGAGGGACAAAGGTTTAAAAATAATATCAGGAAGTATTACTTTACTGAGAGGGTAGTGGATGCATGGAATAGCCTTCCAGCTGAAGTGGTAGAGGTTAACACACTACAGGAGTTCAAGCATGCGTGGGATAGGCATAAGGCTATCCTAACTGTAAGATAAGTCTAGGAACTAATGAAAGTATTTAGAAAATTGGGCAGACTAGATGGGCCGAATGGTTCTTATCTGCCGTCACATTCTATGTTTCTATGTTTCACCAATGCATGTTGTATAACTATTGTATAACTATTCGTTTGTAAATCTGCACTATGATGTACGCACATGGAATATGCTGAGATATGAAACATGTATTTACCTACCCCTCCTTTGCTTTTCCTTACCCCGGTACAAACATATTAGAGCAAACTGTTTACGACTGCTGGAGTCTCTACATTTAGTTTATTGATTACATCGTGTTTTTTGTGTAAGAGATCTCCGAGGTGTCAAAAGCTTCTGTCTGAAATCTGATGCTCTACAGAAAACTGATTTTTAGTAGCTACACGCAATTGCTGATGTATGTTTAGTATTCATAATGAGTCACTTTCTAAGCAACTAATTCATCTTTTTGATTTCCTTCCAGAATTTCTGCGGCAGGAACATGTACTCTTTATGTAGAAATTCTAAAAACGGTTACCAGTAAGGTATGTTATATTGCTGAGAATACCAACTAACAGTTTGCCATTAGGGTGATTAGTTTATGTAATGACTTGTGCATGTGAGTTGCCCTTTTTATTATTTAGTTTTAAATATTTTTTTATTGTAAGATATGCTTTATTGCTAGCTATATATTTATACTGCACCAGACTGCCTATTCTGTTATTCTGAAAATGTAACAAAGATTTTCAGTAAGTTATGTTATATTGTTAAGATCTTCTACATTGACACAGGAAGGAAAGGGCTAGATTTTCAGGTGGACTCTCTGGTACAGAATTCTAACTGATCTGTGTTTATTAACCAGCACCATAATAAATCACAAGTACTTAGGTCGAGTAAAGTTCTAAGAGGGGTAGCGACCATCTCAAAGGGAATAGTCTACATTCTCTATTTTGTGTGATAGGGGAAGGACCTGCCACAGCAGTGTTAAGTAGTGTGTGTAACTATCTAAATTAAGTATGAGTGTCAAAAACGAAAAAAAATAATCTTTTTTATTACACATTTTTAAATAAAGACATTAATTACCAATCCATACTAAAAATGTTAAAAAAAGAAAACTTGGAAATGTACAAACTAAACAAAAATAGACCTCCGTCCCTCTTTCCTTTTGTTTGTTTTATTTCCTATCCACTAAAATGTCTGCATTCCTATTCCCAAATTATAGCTGGTTTGTATTAATAGTTTTGAAGTGAGGTGCAAACAATCGAGTTGTCATAACATTACAAATTGTTGTACAAAATATCAAATTCTCAAAACTCAATCATGTTAGAAGTTTAAAAAAATTATAATTTTGCCCATTGCGGAATAAATTGTGTAATTATGTAGAGAATATATCACAATAAGTTTATGATTTCTATTATTTATTTAATAAATTGCATAAAAGTATTTCATTTTCGGTTGGATAACCTTGTGATTTTGTCATAAACAAGAAAAAAAAACATATCTAAATTTGACATAAAATTCTGATGCAAAGAGTATATTAAATATGTTATAATAATTATGTTTCTCCCCCTTAGTTGTTGACTCCTGCACAATCTTGCGTCGATAAAATTAAGGACAACCCTTACTACCAAGGTAAAAATATTCTTGTTCATTGATGATTCATTGGCATCTGCACATTCATAAACATAACTGCCAAAAGATCTAAATTGATCATACTTCTACCCAAAAATGCTGAAAGATAAGCTATTAAGTCATTTTTAAAAAGTCTTGTTTCTCCATAATATCCTTAAAATTAGCCCATGTTGGGTTATGCCCTAATTACCCCAAAAGCATTATGGACTCGGTGTTTGATTCTCTTTCATTGTGTTTGTATATTTATGTTTAAAATTAACCTCTCATGAGCAGTTCACTTTAAATGATAAAATCTCCTATACAATCAATATATCATTTATCACAATAATAATAATTATATATTGAATTGATTGTTGAGAGGTTAATCAAATGCATTCCTCGTCCTTCACATCATTACTGCCACAATAATCCAGAGTTCACATGCTACACTGACATAACATCCACCCCTGCCCTGCCTTCTCCTATTTTGTGATTGGCCCAGCTTTAACAATTTAGAAGACAGTGCACTCTCCCACCTGTCAGCAACACGCTGGTCTAGCACTGGATATAATCTTAGTTGTTTGCCTGGCATTCAATTTATTTTGAAATTATGAACGTATCCCAAGCACCTTTGCATTGCATTCCACATCCTAATGAAACATCACAAACACTATATTCACTACAGCTTGTTTTACTAGTTAAGGTTCTATCTCTGCTAACTTAAACGTGATTTCCCTCACATTTAATTATGTCAAAATATTCATCAGTTTTAGACATATTCCAGTTGTCTTTGCAATCAATTTGTTATAATAGGTAGTTTTGGCACTTTGCTACCTGAACCTGCTAAAAAAATGAAAATGATTTATTAGCAAAAGAAGCAAGAAATCTAAGTACATATGTGTCAATTATTATCTAGATTGTTCTAGAATCATTTTAAAATATATTGACACAACAAAATAAAGTTTATGTTGCACTGGTTTGAAATGTGCTCTCTTTTCTTTTTACAGGTTACTGCACAGCTGGCCCATTGACCTGCGACGTTTAATATGGAAAAAAATGTCTCCTTCCTACAATTATTGATTAAAAAATGGTGAAATCACAGCTTTACAAAATGTAGCTATTGGAAGACATGGCAGTGTTTTTTTCAATGTTTCACTTAGTCTATGGAACAGTCTACATTATGGGTTCTGGGTTTGCATATCTACTGAGACATCTATTCAAAATGTCTTTCATGATTTCAATAAATCATACATTGCATCATTATAATGTTTCATGATTTCTGATTTTTATATTCACTAAATATATGTTTATTAACATTAGTATTAAGATTGTATTGTTACATGTGGAAACTATTTTCTCTCTTGCCAAGGAGACGTGGTGCTTAAATATGCCATCTTCTTACATGACACCATCCACAAAACATGACTTCCTCTTCCCTTGAGAGGTAGAACTGGTACTTTTTGTCAAAATGAACCTGATTTTACACTGTATCCTCCTAATGTTATGACTGCCAATACATGCCGAAATCCTAATTCCAAGACCCTTACCTCACTAACACCCTAACAGTGCACACAACAAAAAGTCATTCAGCTTGGACACAAAATGTATTGTAACACTCAACATCATTAACCACGTTAACTTAATAATCATAAACTGCAAGCTGGAGGACACCAGGTTCCAGGCAGGTATAGAGCTTCAAGAATTTGGTTTCTGCAAACCCTTTCTGAGCAGGATCCCCCTCTCCCAGTGCTCTAACCTACCATTTCCTCCAGCGATGTCCAGAAAAAAACCCATAGAAAACATGAAAGGACAGAAAGAAAACCAGTGAAAGATAGGAACAAAAAAAAAGAAAAGAAAACAAAGAAGAAAGACGAGAAAGGAAAAGAGAGAAAGGGAGAAAGCTCACGCAGGAACCAAGAGGAGGGTGGGGTGACCAGTGGTAACATTTATAGACCATTCAAATATTGTTACAATAATACACCATTCCATAACTGCTTTGATTGGGTGTCCATTACACAGGCAGCAAGGCAGTCATGACCCACAACACCTAAATGGTGCTTTTGGGCCCTCTTTCCTTGGACCATTCTAATTGGTCAGGTTGCCCCCTTTTCCATTCCCAGATGCTCGAATTGTGCAAACACTGGATAAAGAGAACATTTAACTTTCCCATGTATGGAAAGTGTAAGGATTTTACATTTGTGTATAGTTTACATAGGGATAATAAAAATGAAACCCCAAGCAGTGGTGTGTGCCATGGACCCCACCTCTGTACTATTCATTAACTGGTGTAAAGGGTACAAATTGGACACAAACACTCTATAGTAAACCACAGACAATACAAAACTATTTGCTATTCACTTAATGGTGTTGTAGGTTCAGCCGTTCAAGGAAAGCCCTTTTAACTGGTGCAAATGCTAAATCTACTGAGTGGCCTTTTATTGTGGCCAGCCTAAGGCACACCTGTGCAATCATCATGCAGTCTAATCAGCATCTTGATATGCCACACCTGTGAGGTGGATGGATTATCTCGGCAAAGGAGAAGTGCTCACTAACACTGATTTAGACAGATTTGTTTACAATATTTAAGAGAAATAGGCCTTTTGTGTACATAGAAAAAGTCTTAGATCTTTGCGTTCAGCTCATGAAAAATGGGGGGTGGGCAAAAATAAAAGTGCTGCATTTATAATTTTGTTCAGTGTATAATGCAATGCCGATACATATACCGAACAAATACAGTGTAAACACATGCATAGCATATGTGACCGTCCAGAGCGGAGATCAGAGAGGACCTATGAAACCAATTCAAGTCCTTGCAGTATAGAGCATTTGAAACTGAAATTACCTTGCAAAGGCAAAATAGTAACATATTAAAACAGATATCATGAGCTATGTAGTAAATATTGTAACAAAATAGTCATAAAGACATTGGCTATGTAAATCTACAAATTATCTTCTACAAAGAAGTTATTAGAATTAAAGATCACAGTTTTCCGGAGGGTGTGATCTACTTGGATTTGTTAAGGTAATTTATGCAATACATACACACAGATTGCTGAACACATTCACACACTGACTGCTTAATACATACACACACCGACACAAAGACAGACTGCTAAATACACACACAGATAGACTAAATAAATACACACACGCAAACATACACACAGTCCGCTGAATACACACACCGTCTGCTGAATACACATACACAGACTGCCGAATACATACACTGCTGAGTACACACACACACAGACTGCAGAATACATAAACTGCTGAGTACACACACACACAGACTGCTGAATACAAACACTGCTGAGTACACACACACACACAGACTGCCGAATACATACACACAGTACGCTGAATACATACACTGCTGAGTAAACACACACATAGTGCTAAATACATACACTTCTGACTGAGTACACACACACAGACTGCTGAATACATATACACAGTCTGCTGAATACACACTGCATTGAGGGGTGCAGTGTATGTGTTTGTGTGTAAGGGTGTGGAGTGTGAGGGGTGCTGTGTGTGTGGAGGGGTAGGGGTGCTGTGTGTAGGGGTAGGGGTGCTGTGTGTGTGTTGAGGGGTAGGGGTGCAGTGTGTGGGGGGGTAGGAGTGGGGGTGACACAGCCATCCTTGGTGGTTAGTATGTGACAGGAAAGAAGCTCTCCTGTCCTCCTGCATGATGCTGTGTGGAGCACCATGGTAACGCGCGGCAACGCTCCACACAGATTGCTTCCTAGATCCCTCCCCCTGCTTCAGGTCCTCCTGACAAGAAAGCAGAGTAGGCGCCTGCTCTGCATTGCTGCATTGCTGCAGACAGCCAGCGACCCCTTCCACCCGGCGACCTACGACCGCATGCCATCGCTGATTTAGGGTGTACGTTGCTTGTGCATTCTTAACCCCAAAGTGCATAACTTGGCATTTCTCTACGTTAAATTTAATCTGCCATTGTAATGCCCAGTCCCCCTATCTATCCAAATCCCTCTACAGCAAAGCAATATCCTGCTCACATTTTATTACCTTCCGGGGTCAAGTCCTGGGGGAACAAGTGTGGGAATTCACCTAAGATTCCCGCCCCCCCCCCCCTAAAAGAAAATAATAAAATAAAAATTAAAAAAAGGTACACTCCTTTGCATATAGTGCAGTGGAGTGTGTGTATAATGAATGTAGTGAGTTTGTAGTGATTGCAGAGTATGTATAATGAATGTAGTGTGTTTGTAGTGAGTGCAGAGTGTGTATAATGAATGCAGTATGTGTAGTGAATGTAGTGTGTTTGTAGTGAGTGCAGAGTGTGTATAATAAATGCAGAGTGTGTATAGTGAATGTAGTATGTTTGTAATGAGTGCAGAGTGTGCATGGTGAATGTAGTGTGTTTGTAATGAGTGCAGAGTATGTATAATGAGTGTAGTGTGTTTGTAGTAAGTGCAGATTGTGTATAGTGTATGTAGTGAGTGCAGTGTGTGCATAATAAATGCAGTGTGTGTGCTGGATGATGTGTGTTTGTGTGTGCTGGATGAAGTGTGTGTGCTGGATGACGTGTGTGCTGGATGATGTGTGTGTGTGTGTGTGTGCTGGATGAAGTGTTTGTGTGTGCATTAGGGGGGGAAGTATTTGTTTTACAATGTATGTGCACACGGGGGCCCAGCACACTCTGTGTTCCCTCTCCAGCTCTGTCTAACTGCTCGCTAAACTAGCCTGTGTGTTTTGCGGAGCGTTGCCATGGTAACCAGTGGCAACGCTCTGACGACTGCGGGTCTCGCGAATGTGAGCTGCAGCTGGAGAGGGAACACAGAGTGTACTGGGTCCCCGTGTGCAGGTAGCAGGGCAAGTCTTGCAGGACTAGTAGTGGGAACGGCGTTCCTGTTTTGGAAAAAGTGCATGAATGCCGTTCCCATGCGTTCCTGCAGGACTCGACCCCTTATTACCTTACAAAGTTTTGCCTCATCTGCAAACACTGATACATGACTGTCAATACAGTTAATATTTGAACTTTATAAATTCATTTATAAATATGTTAAAAAGAAGCGGTCCCTAAACAGAACCTCGAGGGACACCACTTACCACTTTTGTCCAGCCTGAAAATTTAACATTAATGACAACTCGTTGTACTCTATCCTTAAGCCAATGTTCTACCCAAGAACAAGAATATTCATCTAGACCAATTACTTTAATTTGAAGACTAACCTAATGTGAGGAACCGTATGAAATGCCTTGGCAAAATCCAAGTAGATCACATCCACTGCAACACCCTGATTTATTCTTCTTACTTCTTCGTAGAATGCAATTTGACTCGTGTGCCCTTGGAAGCCATCACAGCCATGCCTACTAATGGTTTAAACTTTCTAGTGTTTTGTTTTAGAGATAAACACCCTTGTATATGATTTAGATATATAAGAATTATTTGAAGCAGCAAAGTATTTACCACATTTGTTCACAATAATGTAAAGTTACATTATCTTTAAATGTTAAAAATACAAATGTAATTTAAAATCCCTCAATCTATTTAGAATAGTTAATCATTGGAAACATGACATTATTCATATTTCTTTATCCTGTTAGTTAGGGAGAAGACAACTTATTCCCTAATTCAGGGGTTCCCAATTAATTTTTCCTGTGGCACCCTTTGACATAGTGTATGAACATTGTGGAACTGTGTGTATCTGTGTTTGTATCTGTATCTGTATGTGTCTGTGTATCAAGGTGTGTGTGTTTGTGTTTGTATGTGCTAGTGTGTATTAATCTGACACACAGATACACACACTGGCAGATAGTGGCACACAGATACACACACTGACAGATACACACACCTTGACACACAGTGTGTATCTTTGTGTGTATGTATGCATGTATGTATCTATCTATCTGTGTGTCAAGGTCTGTGTATCTGTGTGTCAAGTTGTGTGTATCTGTGTGTCAAGGTGTGTGTATTTCTGTTTGTATGTGCCAGTGTGTATGAATCTGACACACAAGTACACACTGGCAGATAGTGGCACACAGATGCACACACATTGACACACAGTGTGTATCTGTGTCTGT